ATTTATCACGGGGTCACTCACCCCCTGCCCGCCCTGCAACGCCTCGCATACAGAAATACGCCTCGACGCCCATTTCAGACCGCACTGGCACTTATTTACCTCCCCTTCCCTTTCCTTCTGGCCAATCCACTTTTTCCTTTTTTTTTTTTTTTTTTTTGGGCAATCCACTTTTTCAGCAGGTCTTATCCTTTTTTTTTTATCCGAACAAAAACCTTGTACAAAAAAAGACAAATATTTATTGAGCCCATACGAGATTCACTTCCCGCTTTCCCTTGTTATGCATTGCACGACATAGACATGTCATGTGGGATGGACGAATGCGACACGGTTAATGGAATGGGGTTAACGGAATGGTTAACGGAATGGTTAACGGAATGGTTAACGGAGTTGTTAACGGAATGGTTAACGGGATGATAAAGAGTTCAGGGAAAGAAGAAAACCGTGAGACAGATATGAAGGAAAAGCGGAAAAACGTTTTCCCGGTTCAGCGTAAAAGATTGTTGAGAGGCAGGAAAACGTTGCAGTCATGGATGAAAACAGTGAGGGAGAGATGTGATAGAAATGCGGGAAAAATGGAGCGGGAAACCAGAAAACGAGAAATGTGAAAGCGCGGGAAATGAAAAGAGCATTATGTGAAAGATAACCACAAAAAGGTTGCTGAGTGCGGGAAACGGGCAAAAGCGGGAAAAGGGAAAGATACCACAGGGCTGCTGAGCGTGGGAAAGTGGGGAAAGCGGGATATGGGATATAGGTAATTAGAGCATTTTCTCGTTAATCCTCATCATTGAAACATATGCTTAAAATGCGTTTAATTCTATCATGCATGACGATTCGCCTCATCAAATTCTCCCTTGCACACGTATGTGCCTATGTCCTCTTGTCCCATTTCCCTTTTTCCCGTTTCCCGCTATCGCATTCCCGCTGTCCCATTTGCGCTATGACACTTGGGCTACTTGAGCTACTTGAGGTACTCCACTCGAGATACTCGAGGGACTCAAGGGACTCAAGGGACTCAAGGGACTCAAGGGACTCAAGGAACTCGAGGGACTCGAGGTACCTGTGCTAATTGAGCTACGATGTATGGAGCGCGCCACCCGAGATAAGCAGACAGGCATCGCTGGTGATGCTGCGCCTCTGCCAAAAGTTAAGACGAACCTGGTCGTCATACGAACCAGATTAAATATGCCCAAAAAAGGAGAAAAAAAAAGGTTATATATGCTTCACTTAGAACCGAGGTGGAAACAGTGAGTGGGCCTTTCCCTTCGAGTCTCTGAATCACCTACATCCACACTAAATACGACGGGGAAAAAGAAAAAAAGAACACGAGAGAATTATTAAAGTTAATACTACAACTAATTAAACATACTTTATAACCGCCAGCTAAATTGGACGCACGCAAAACAAAGACTTTAAGAAAGGAGGAGAAGAGTTGGAAAACATCCTTCCTTTCAGGAGAAAATGGAGTTGAGCCCGGTAAGTGAGGGACAGAGAAGTAAAGGTCTCAGCTTTCCACCGCACAAGGTTCACATTTTCAACGCAGATCTCTCTCTCTCTCTCTCTCTCTCTCT